GTGTGTGTGTGTGTGTGTGTGTGTGTGTGTGTGTGTGTGTGTACATATAATAATATATAATAATTTACAGCCTCATATGTCATCTAGATTTATCACCTGAATTACAGCCCCTTTCCTTTTTACTAGGGTGTTATGTGTTATTTATGGTATTTWATTTAATTTATCATAGTTCTCTTTGGTAGGACTTTCCTCAGCCCTGCAGACAGATCTGGTTTTYTCTCCATCTGCATTCAAACTAACATTACCAGTAAGAGACAGCAGAGGGAGAAGTTTCCTTCCCTGTGGAAAAGRTTCTTTGGTAACAAATCCATGGTGTTGGTGTTCAGTTCACAGCTTGTATGTGGAGCTGTTTAGAGGCAAAAAGGTTTAAGCGAGACCTGCTTTAGTTTTCTCTTCTAATCAGACTGTAACAATAACAAAAACAAGAAAATAAATGTTATTTATTTCTTTGCATTGACTGAGGAAGAGGTCGTGTTCTCTAAACTCACAGAGTTATGTCTGGTGCTCAGTTTAGCACAAGCTGTTTTGACTTTGRTACTGAGAAAGTCCTCCGCTGAGAGTTTAAAGCTCAACAGATGTCTTGTGGCTTCTGGTAACCAACTCTGATGGTTACAGAACGTACCCTAATGGTTTCCTTTGTCACAAAAAAAAAAAAAACACAAAAATACAAGTTGGGTTTTCCAGTCCCACTTTCTTCTTTCCACAACAAGGACCAGAAAGGAGAAGTGTTTTCTTGTGGTGTTTGGTTTCCAGGTTAAAGATAAAAGTTTATTTTAGCTTTTAAATGTTTTCACTTGCGTTTTGCAGGTCCTTTTCACCAAACCTTCTGACCATGTTAGGACAGTTAGTGACCTTAATGTTGTTCCTAAAGAAAAAAAAGACTACAGCCACCTGTCAATAATTTGTAACACTTCTGTTACTTTATTATCAAAAGAGTTTTTTAAAAATAGCTTACCGACACTGCRGCAGCAAAACTCTGCAGCGTTGTTTCCAGGTCTGGTAAGATTTGATCCGACCCAAACACGTGAAAGTGTGAGCAGTGGACCTGAACAGCGAGGAAGAAAACAGTGCAGACATTGCTCCGGAGTTTCATTCTCAGCCTGAACCAGCTCTGTGCCAACTGCTCATATAAATAGTCTTGGCAAGCTCGGCGCCAGTATGTATAAACAGTCTTGTGTAATTATTAACTTTTACACACCTTAACAGATTGAAAATTTAGAGCGGTTTGTGTTTAATTCTGGTCCAGGAGAGCCATTGCCCRGTCTGACATATGTTTCTTTGTTTGAACACATCTGGTTACAATAAGAAGGAGATCATTAACAGGCCTCTGCAGAAGATGTAACTTGTCCACTGCAACACCCAGTATAAGTGTTGYAGCAAGAAAACAGCTAAAACATGCAGGACAGGAGGCCTWTTCTTCCAGAACCTGGACTGAACTCTATTATTATTGCCGTGCTGTCATATGTTAACCTTTTTAACAAAGTAGTTTTAAATGATCAGCATGCACTTTGTTGTTTTCCTGTTTTATTTTTCATATTTTTTGTGCATGTTTTTGCACATTCTCTGCTATTTTTGGATTTAGAATTGTTCTTTATTTCAAACAGGCTCAAAAGGTTTATGGCCGCTAACGATATTTACCAATATTACACAAAAACACAAATGACATATCTACACACAAACATACTTTTGTCATTTTTTTAGACATGGCTCTCTGCTTCAGTTATTACTGGCTTTGCAGCAGCAACATCACTATCATGATCAAACAGATACCGCTCGACCAACCAACAAGCGGTAAATCAATWTCAGACACTAATACCCCGTTTTACTTATCGGACCGATACCGATGTTAATGCCGATATATTGTGCATCCCTAGTTAAAATATTCAGCTCATGCAGGAAATTGGTGTCTATCTATAATTTTTTGTAACCTTTATGCTTTTCAAAATATTAAACTTCTATTTTTCAAACATTTTCCCATCACAAAAAAAAAAAACATTGAGATTTTTTAATTCCTTCCAACACATTGTTCTTTTATTTTAATTTGCACCAAAACACTTGATTTAATTTGAACTCTTGATGCTGCTTTTTCATTTTAAGCTACGTTTTTTCTTCTTTTAGGTTTTGGAACAAAGTGGCACTAAAGCCTGATGTAAGACTGAGGGTGCCCAGCAGGGGGCAGCAAATCCAAACTATTATCTTTTTTTATTATTATTATTCATTGCTGTTCAATTTTTTTTATCATAACTTAATTTTTTGTGGCATTAATGCTCTTAAATAACACAGTAACTCAGTTTTATCAAGCGGTTATAAAATATTTTGACCAAACACTTTTTGTGGGAAACTGTTGTGCAACAAAACCAAGTTTCAAGTGCAATACATGCAACATCACAGCGAAGTAAAGAAAAATAAACAATAACTTTTTAAAGCTGAACAACTTTTACCTGTTTAAAAATGAAATATGTAAACATGATTTCAAGTTTAAAAACTGAATCTTGCATATGATATTAGCAGATCCAGTAAAATCACAAACCAGGGTTTTTTTGTCCAATAAAACTTCTTAGAAATTAAAATGAAAACTCCAAAAAATGATCCCTTTAAATGTTGCAACATGCAAATTAATTAGGTAGAAAATATTTGTGAAGGAATTCAGATTTTTTTTTTGTTTTTGACAAAAGTTGGTTTTAGAAGAAAAACTGCGTTAATTTATTATTTAGAGTATTTTTGTGATTGAAACATGAATATAAAAACATATACATTTGTTTGCAGTACTATGGAAATGTTCTCTTATTGACTGGAGTAAAAGCTTTGCACCTAAATAGGCTGCTTATGTGGACAACAGTTTTATCATCTATGTGAAAGAAAACAAAATTAATGTAAGAGATCGTTTGACTAATTTTCTAATTAATTTTAAGTAATCATATTTTAGTTAAGGAAAAACAAAGTGCAYTCAGTGTTCATCCTGTCTGCTCTTTTTGGAAGGAAAAAAAAATCTTGACAGCTTGTTACATGAGGAGGGCAGCAAAGAGTCACATCACCACAGGAGTAAAAAGTAACTCCTGCTGTAGATCTAATTCTGTATTTTGTTGACAGAGTTTCTTGCATTTCTTTCTGTTTATGACAGCTTTATAAACCTTTACAGCACTGGTAAGACATTTTAGTATAATGTTTCCCAGCTGGAACTGCTGCAGCCCATAAACCTGATCGAGTGAAATGAATGTGCAGAATCCTGACCCAAAGCCTCGCTTCAGTTAAAACAGCTGCTTTATGTTTAGGTGATGGATGTAGTTTCAGTTTTCTTGTTTGCTGTGGTGTGATAGTGACTGAGTTTAGGTCAAGTCTTTAAGGAAAATGACCTTTTTTCCACCACTTTTATGCAAAGTCTGCATGATGTTCTTAACATCTGCTTCAGGTATAAAACATGACTTCAGTGCACCAGTTTAAGAGCAACACAATTAAGGATTTGTTTACTAAAAGCAAAAATAAAAAAAGACAATAAATTTTTTTTTTATTTTTGTCAATTTGATGCTGGTGTCTGTTTCTTCCATAGTCGTTTTCTCTCAGTACACTGAATATGTTCAGTTTAAATTCTCAGTATGTCTGCACCTGGATTCATGTTCCATTCAGGAGAAAAGAAGAAGAAAAAACATGGCAGACAATGACGAGAGAAGAAAAGCACGGACATTCTCCATTTTCCACACCTTCACAATTTTCCATTTAAAGAGCTCAGCAGCCACAGACTGATTCAATGCAAAGACTTTTGTGCCACTGCACAACAGACAAGTCACACTTACACACCACAAACTGGCCACTTAAACTGGTTTGTGGAAAACATGTGCCTCCTTTGTATATTATGAGAGAAAGATGTTGGTGATAAAAAGTAGTCGAGATGTTTTCGGTGATATTGCTCCTCATCACTGGCTTCACTTTTCAGATCTTCCCTTTTCATTGAACTCATGAGTTTGTTGGTCATGAACTCCTTCTGTAATYACTGTTGGGTTTTGTAGCATAAAAAAAATGAAATCATAGTATTTCAAAAGCTTCACGTTTTTTTGTTTTTGTTTTCATCAACACACTGAGTGTTCTGAGGCCTTGTTGCCACTCACACATGGTTCCCTTCTTTGGAAATGTTGTGCATTCCACAGCAGAGCAGTGATAATCCTCCTAAATCTACACATCATGTCACTAATGAGCACTCGCTTCTACGGCTGGGAGGACTTTCAGAATTGTGGTGCAACCTGAGCGTTCAGCTTTCAGGAAACTTCTGGAAAGTGGTTTAAAATCTAAATTTTACTGTTTAGTTGTTGTTTTTTTTTGCCACAGTTCTCAATGTTATTTTGTGTATTTTTGTCTTACAAAAAGCAAAAGCAAGCTGACTCAAGGTTTTTACTTTTGTGCGCTCATTCTTTAATCAGGTTGACCTTTGACCCTGCGCTGCACAAGCAGGTCACGCGCACGCCAAAAGGTTCCTCACCTCATTAAGTGTCACTCGCCGTCACCTGTGCCRGAGCTGCTAAAGACGTCTGTGCACAAGTGAGCGTGTGACCCCCTGCAGGACGCTTTCTCCGGCCTCAGCCATTCTCCCCCCAGCTGGGCTTTCAGCTGTCGTCAACACTTGTCCACTCGATAACTGTTGCTGCGGCTCAGGAGTCAGCGCGGCGTTTCACAAGCTCTAATGATTTTAACGAAATCCAACCTGCTCCTGTGGGACAAGCAAAACAGATATAAGGATTTACCAAAYCTGTACCCAGAAAACCAATTTTCTTTGCCAAGTCAAACATTTTTTTTAGTTGATGTTTGAAACTTTAAGACTACTCTACACTGTATTTTTTTTCTTTTGCATTTTTTTCTAATTTTGATATTTACTAATCATTTGAGAAATGTTGCACATGACCAATTAAAGGTACAACATTAATTGAATAACAAATATTACCTGCTGGTTTGCAGAGATGCACAGGGGAGGAGCCA